GAAATCTGGAGCTGAGTGTGTGATAAATAAAATATAAATTAAAAGGACATCAATTATGGTTAGAATAAATATCTCTTATAAAATAACTCCAAAATCTTTCAAAAATACCATAAGTAGATAAAGATTTATCATTCTCATATAATCCAACCTGAACTGGTTTAGTCATTGTCTCTACCACTAATTCATTTGGAAAAAAAACAAATTTTAAAGGGTGAGGGATGATCAAACCACCGCTAAGAGAATAAATTATGTAATGTGCCAATGAAGCAATTCTATTTTACACACTCAAGAAAATATCAAGAAAAGATACACCAATCAACATCATATCAAATCATCACTTGTGATGCAACGCAGTGGCAACAAGTTGTTGTCCAGTGTCCCAAACAGTCCCAAAATACAGAGCATAGAAGGATAAAGCTATATAATAGAAGTTTGAATTGAAGATAATTGAGTTCTAAAGGTCAAAAATCCCAAAAGCAACTCTATTAACTAAAGTTTGGAATTATATTAATAAAATTTTTAAATACAAGAGTCTTTTAATAGCCTATTTACACGAGTAAAGTAGCCTAGCATTCCTATACATGGTTTATTAAGAAAATCTAATTGACAAAGGAAATTAAAAATCAAAAAGTTCAAATCCAACTTCCCCTCTGGTCCACTGCCTTAAAGATTACACTAAATTCAACTTGTTTAGTCTCACCAAATACCCTGTCAAAAGCTTTACCAACTCTCAAACAAACTTCACAATCTTCTTCCAAACAACAGTCAAACACAGTAGGGTTCTAAAATTATGAGATTGTCATCTTCCAATTTATTCGAAGTTCCCTCAACATCCTTCTTAGCAACAATTGTCCCACCTCCTTGCTCACAAATTCCAACTAATGGGCTCTCAAATGACCATTAACCTTGGCATATTTGGGAGCATTGCAGAATCTTCCTTCACATGGCTGCAAATTCCACTTTTCTCCCATCCTTATATAATGAATAGGTGTGTGCTTTAGTAGAATGTATCATGTCTTTGTCAAACAACCATGGTCTTCTTAATAGGATATGACATGCATCCATGGGACAACATCACACCAAGCTTCATCCTTAATAGTATTACCCATAGTGAACTTACCAAACACGTTGAAGTGACTGGTATCTCGTTGCCTTTTCGAAACCATGCAACCTTGTAAGGATTAAGATGCTTCTCAATTGGCAACTTTATTTTTTTTTATTGCCTCCTTCAAGATAATGTTTTCACTACTTCCTTTATCAAGAATCACATTGCACATATTTCTGACACAAAGGCGGTTCAAAATATATATTATGTGGATGCCGAAGACCCTCAATTTTTGGAGTTGTCATCACTCGCCTTACCACCAAATATTCTCCTCCAACCAGTAAAAGATCACTAACTTCCTATGACATAAGTGGGTTTTAAAAATTCATCTTATCACCTTTAACCTATGCCAAGTTTACTCTTCGTTGTTGGCAAGTGTAAGATAAATGCCATGCCTCTCCACAAGTGAAATATCAAACTTGTGAAATACTCCCATCCTTGTAATTTTTGACACAAGCATTGTTTTGAGGATAAAATTGTGCTATTTTCTCCCATTTTTACTCTTATCAGCACCTACCAACTTCCTACACTTGGTACTTGGATTGGTTTCATGATCACTTTGGACACTATGAAGAGCAACTATATTCTTTGCCAACCCATTTTATCGCCTACTGCCACAACATGATACCTTTTTTTCTTCCATTAAGGCATGTTGTCAAGCATCTTCTAGGTTGAACAGACGGATCACACCCGCCCCCATGCCATCGCCAATGGTAAGCACCTACAAATATGAACACATACCTCGATGTTGATCAGAAATCATCCTTACAACCTGCAAAATTAGCATACGCAAAAGCTTCTAATTTCAAATTGTTGCTTCTTCTGAAAACCAATTTGTAATCTTTAGTTCTCTGTAAATATCTCCACACCTTCTAGTAGGAAAGGCTATGTCAAGTCTAGTGCAGACTTGTGCATACATAAGACTGCCTACTAAGGAGGCATAAGGTTTGTCATTATCTAAATTTTCTCTTGTTCAGTCCTTGGTGCCGGTTCCTTGCTCAACTTATCTGCTTTTGAAATAGGCATTTCAGTTCCACCACATCCTTGCATATTGAATCTCTACAGGTACCTTTTCTATATAATTCCTCTGTGATAATCCAAGAACCCCTTTCTATTGATTCTTGCTAATTTCAATTCCGAAAACATAGGATGCTTCACCAAGATCTATCATTTCAAAATTTTAGACATGAATTCTTTACAACTATGTTACATTGATAAATCTGTGCATGCCAATAAGATGTCATCCACATATAATACCAATATGATGAAATTCCTCCCACTCTTCTTCATGTAAATGCATTCATCCAATGAATATTATGTAAAAACCATAATGCTTAACAACTTCATCAAATTTGATATACCACTGTCTAGAAGCTTGATTAAGACCATAAATCGATTTACACAGTTTACATACTAGATTTTCTCCCTTCTCTTGAATGAAACCTTCTAGTTGTTTCATATATATTTCCTCTTCTAGATTTCTAGTCAAGAATGCAGTCTTTACATCCATTTGATGAAGTGTAAATCAAAACGTGATACCAATGCCATGATTACTCTAAATGAGTCTTTGGTTGAAACTGGTGAATAAGTTTTAATGTAATCTATCCCTTCTTACTGTGTGTATCCCTTGGCAACTAGTCTTGCCTTATATCTATTATTTTGTCCCTTAGGGTTTCTCTTGGTTTTGAAAACCCATTTGCAACCTATAGGTTTGCAATTTTGTGGCAGGTTCACTACTTCCTACACACCACTTTTCTTTGTAGAGCTTAATTCTGATTTCATAGCTCCCCACCATTTTTCATTTCTCTCATTGGACATTTCTTGCTTATAGTTCATGGGATCTTCAATTACATTCACATCATGCTCAAATTCTTGTAAATATATGTAGTAGTCATCATGTAGCTCTTTTCCTTTGTCTTTGTGATCTTCTCAACTCTATGTCCATTTGTTCATGGTTTTGTTCTGCTGGTTGATTTTTATTTGTGTTTCTGGTGGCAGAACTTGTTGTTCTTGAATTTCTTGTTCAAGTATCATTGGATCTCCAACTATTTCATCTTCCTTTACAGATTGGGTGCTACGCAAGTCAAAGCTAGGTAACATTATAATTCATTGTGTCTCCATTTTCTATTATAACTTCATAAAAATTGAAATTTTCTTCTTCTGTTGCATCATTTTTTATATTATATAAACACTGCTATTTGAGTTTCTACAAATCTGGTTGTATTTTGAGGGCAGTAAAATCTATAGCCTTTAGTTCATTCTGGATAGCCAACAAAATAGCCACTGCTTGTTCTTGAATCCGACTTCTTTTCCATAGGATTGTATAATTTTGCTTCAGCTCTATGGCCCCACACTATGAGATGATTCAAACTCGGTTTTCTTTTAACCCAAACTTCATAAGGGATAGCATTTACGCTTTTAGTAGGTACTCTATTCAATATATAATTTTCCGTTTTCAATGCTTCTCCCCAGACTAACCCGACACTAACCTTGGTCTGACATGATTGTGGTGAAGGTATAGAAATCTTCTTCTCCTATGTAGTCCATAAACTCCCTCTAGATGGGGTGAGATGTCAATATGAGTCTCTCTTGACTACTAGGAAAGGGACCTCTATATATAAGCATTGCTTAAGTATTTTGCCCATCGAAGAACACTTAAACAAATTCTGATTGCACTAGAATAGAATGTTTTAATCCATATAAGAATAGGAATCCTCAAAGCTCTAGTTTTCTAATTAAATTGCACTTTAAACTAGAACTATAGATATGCTTGAGTTTTGTTTCTTAATTAATACTAAATTGCAACTCCTTATGTGATTAGAAGATCATTCTAATGTGGTTTAAGACAATGTAATGTCTTACACTTCTTCCATAGGTTTCCATTCTCTAGACTTGCCTATGAATCTAAATAATCTTCTACATACATATTTCCATAAAAATCAGCAACTTCAATTGGAATTCCTCCACCATTCAAACCCAATGCACGAACCAACAGCTCTTCCACTCCACCTTGATTACCATCACCATGGTTGCATTCCAGAATCTCCATATAGGCATCCATGATGAATTCCTGTCTTTGGAGGGTGTGCATCCCTCTAGACATATCTTCTATTATACGCCGTATCTCAGTCATCTATGTGTGTTAGGCTTGGTTTTCTTGTCCACAACCTCTACCATGACCAACCATGATGGGGAGGAAGGATTTTCCTAGCCTCTGGTACCAATTTGATGCAGGGTAGCATCTATAAGTAGTTGTCCAATGAACCAAACAATCCCAAAATACATAGAATAAAAGGATAAAGCTATAAAATAGAAGTTAGAACGAAAATAATTGAGTTCTAGGTCAAATTTCCTAAAAGAATCTGTAGCGACTAAAGTCTAGAATTATATTTATACAAGAGTAAAGCAGCCTAGCAATCTTATCCCTTGGTTTCTTAAGAAAACCTAATTGGCAAAGGAAATTAAAAACCAATAAAACTAGAAATTCAACCAAATCTTAGTAAGAATAGGAAAACGAGATTAACAAATTAACTTGTTAATTTAATATAGCTAAGACACAGCCTATATAAAACTTATTCCTTTTGGTTCCAATGGAGGCCAGCTAATAATAAAAAAAAGGCGTAGTCAAATAAAATAAAATTTTAATCCCTTTAAAGAAAACATAATATTCGGAAAGGTGTGAAAGTAAACAATTGTCAGAAGATGTGACATTTAAGGCAATAAAAATTTCGTTTTTTTTATAGGAATAAATAAAAATTTCGTTGATAATGGTAAAATCGTACAAAGTGTGCAAATTATTTTTATATTGATCTATTTTTCATTGGACTTTGTACAGATTGGGAGACAAGATACAGAGATAACCATTTCATCTACGTGTCTTTGATCTCACAAGGAAATGGATATTGTTATTTCAATTGCGTCCAAAATTGCAGAGTCCTTGGTAAGACCAATAGGCAGAGAATCTGGCTATTTGATTTACTATGATACCAACATGAAAGATCTAAAGAATCAACTTAAAAAGCTTTTTGAGAAGAAAGATGGGGTGCAAGAATTGGTTAATGCTGCCAAAAGGAATGGTGAAGTTATCAACTCTGATGTTCAAAGTTGGCTAACAAGTGTTAACGAGTTAATTAAAAAAGTGTCGCATTTTGAGGAAGAAGTCAGCATGAAAAGGCGATGCTTGTACCGGTGGAACATAAGTAGGAAAGCCACTAAGATTACACAAGATGTTCTTTATCTCCAAAAAGAAGGAACATTCAATAATGTTGCCCATCCTGCACCTCCACCGATGATATGGTCAACATTCAAAGAAGGTTTTAAGGATTTTAAATCCAGAATGACACATGTGAATAGGGTGATAGAGGTTTTGAAGAATGAAGACGTTAGAATGATTGGGATTTGTGGTATGGGGGGTGTGGGTAAAACCACAATGGTGAAAGAAATCATCAAAAGGCTGGAAGGATTGAAAGCATTCGATAATATTGTGATGGCAGTTGTGTCCCAAAGCCCAAGCATTCAGAAGATTCAATCAGAAATTGCAGAGGAGCTGGGGTTTAAATATGACGAGAATACCGAAAGTGGAAGAGCACGAAGGCTCTACAGAAGACTCATGGAAATAAATAGCATCCTAATTGTATTAGATGATGTGTGGACAGAGCTTGATTTTGAGGCTATAGGACTTCCTTCTCAACTTTCTCATAAAGGGTGCAAAGTTCTGTTGACCTCGCGAAACTCGGAAGTGTGCAATGCAATGGGAAGTCAAGAAATTTTTACAATCCCAGTTTTAACACCAGAGGAATCATGGGAACTCTTCCGTGAAATCATAGGTAAACCCTTGGACCATCTTGATTTGGCTAAACGAGTCACAAATGAGTGTGCAGGTTTACCTATTGCTATTTTAACTGTTGCGAAAGCACTAGAAAATAAGAGGAGGCATGAATGGGTTGATGCACTCAAACAGCTACAAAGTTCAGCTCCTGGAAGCATCTCTTCGATGAATGACAAAGTTTATTCAAGCATACAATGGAGTTATGATAGATTGGAGAGTGATGAAGCGAAGTCATGCCTTTTGCTTTGTTGTTTATTTCCTGAAGATTATGATATTCCAATTGAATATTTGGTTAGATATGGATGGGGTCGAGGGTATTTTAGTAACATTGATTCAGTGGAAGAAGCAAGAAATAGAGTGCATTCTTTGGTTGACAAACTTCAAAGAAGGTTTTTGTTGCTAGAGAGCAAATGGGGATACCATACCAAGATGCATGACATAGTTCGTGATGTTGCCATATCAATTGCCTCAAGAGATCCACATAGATTTCTAATAAGATGCGATGCTGAAAAGAAAGGGTGGCCAAAGATATACGACCATTGCACAACAATCTCACTGATACCAATTAATATTGATGAGATCCCAGTTGGCCTGGAGTGTCCAAAACTTGAGCTTCTACACTTAGAAGGCGAACGTTATTCGGAAAATAGCATGGACATCATGTGTAAAGGGATGAAAGAGCTGAAGGTTTTAGCATTGGTAGACATGGGTGGGATATCAGCCTTGCCAAGGTCACTAGGACTACTGAAGAGCCTTCGAACCTTGTCCCTAAATGGTTGTTATGATTTAACAGATATATCTGATGCTATTGGAAGATTGGAAAATTTAGAGATCCTCAGCTTTCGTAAATGCTCTAGAATCTTAGAGTTGCCGAAGGAAATTGGACTTCTTAAACATTTAAGGTTGTTAGATATCACGGATTGTGATCGTCTTGAGAAGATTCCACATGGTCTCTTATCGAGCTTATCTAGTCTTGAAGAGTTGTATATGAAAAATAGTTTTTGCAAATGGGAACAATCAGCTAAAGAAAGCGAAGATAAGAGGATGGCAAGCCTTGTTGAGGTGATGTCTTTGTCTAATCATTTGAAGGTTTTAGTCTTAGAGATACCCGATTTCAACTTCTTTCCAAAAGACTTTTACTTGACAAGCCGGGCAACAATAAGATTCCACATATCCAACAACTTGTTTGCACGAGGGCTTTTTGGAGATTCATTCGAAAATATTGGTCGTTATGCATTCGAAAATAAGTTGGATATTTTTCAAAGTGATGCAACGGAATTCATGGAGATTCAAATTGTTCGTGTCTTATTGAAGAAATGTGAAGATTTAATCTTGGGAAGGATTAAGAATTTAAAGTATGTCCTCAATGAATTAGACCAAGAGGGATTGCAACACTTAAAAGTTTTAACAATTTGGGAGTGCCCCGAGATAGAATACCTTGTAAATGGAGCAAGTTGGACTCAACAAACAGCCTTCCCTCTCATCCAATCAATCAAACTCTGGGGGATGCCCAAGCTAAAAGCAATATGCCACGACCAACTTCCACAGAGCTCTTTTATCAACTTAAGATCTCTTGAATTACAATTGTGCCCTGTTTTAAAATATGTATTTTCTCTATCAGTAGCAAGCAACTTGGTTCAACTCCAAAGCTTAAGTGTTGTCAGGTGTCCCCAAATGAAAGAAATCGTCTCAAAGGAGTGGAGGGAACATGAGACGGCATCGGACGTCATAGTTTTCCCTAAATTAACAAATTTGACACTCCATCATCTATCTAATGAATTCGTTGGTTTCTACGAAGCCAACAAGCTATACTCCAACAATGAGGTATGTTACATATATAACTTATTATTTCGATGCTTGAATAGTATAATTGTTTTGTTAATTGTTTGTGCCTCAAATTTTATTTTTATTTTGGTTTACTTGCCATCACGTCTGAATTTAGTTTGACTATTATTTACTCATTTTCTTCCTAAAAACTGAAAATATTCTCATACTGATAAATGAGGAATTTAGTTTACTTGCCTTAAAAAAAAAATAAATAATAAATAAATAAATAAATAAAATAAAAAATAAAAAATTGAGCATGTGCAGACCACAAATAAATAAATAAATAATTTAGTCCATTTCATATATTTATTTGTAAAAATTTTGGACTCATTTTTGTTAATGGTCTCATTACATAATATATTTAGAAATCTCGAACTATCTAAAGAAGCAACGAATTTAAGTTGGTTAAAACTTTCATTTCTTTTTTTTTTTGCACGCTCCAAATTGCTTGTATTCGAGAAATCAAAGCTATAAACTACCGGTACAAGCACCAAAAAAATTACGGTCTTAATTGCCACGCTCCAAATTATTTACTGGAAAATTCTTGCCACGTGGAAGCATTTTGTTTGACCTGAGATCACAAAGTCTAGCTTTTATGTGATTATTATTCTGCAAAGCAGAGGAGAGGTTTTGTCTGAACAGCATCAGCATAAAGAATCTAGAAACTGACTAGTCCTCCGATTAAAACTTGGTTTTATTAATATTTTAATATGAAGTCATATTGAAGTAATTTAAACAATAATAATTGAGCTTGTTATTAATTTCATTTTTGAATATACAAAATGTTTCTTTAAATATTTATTAATTAATGAATCTTTTCAGGTAACGGATGGGCCTGAGGATGAAAATGTGGTAGGAACTTCATATGATCAGCATCAATCTTCTAGAAGCTTTGAAAGAGCGGTATTTCCATCAAAGTGCATTTTATGGTTACAAAATCTAGAAGATGTGGAACTAGAACGGGCCGATGTAGATGTGTTCTTTGATCTGAAAGGCCATATGGTTAGGGATGGGCAGGCAGTTCCAGCATTTTCTCATTTACAAAATTTGTCCATATGGAATTCTCGATGTCGACACCTTTGGAAGAACATTCCACGTGGATTCCAGGGCTTCCAAAATTTAAAATATTTAAACATAGACGGTGGTCATGATCTCCAATATGTGTTCCCACATTCAATTGCCACATTCAATCGACATAGAGCGATGCTTGAAAATGGAAACTATAGTCAGATTCTCAGATGAAAATGAAAAAGAGGATCAGACGGGCATGACTTTGTTTCCCAAACTAAATAGTTTTCATCTACGCCGGCTTCCGAGTCTTGAGAGTCTTTGTCCTGATGCTTCTACTTCTTTATGGTCAGCCGCCAAATCTATGTATGTGCGAGGATGCGACAAACTGAAGACATTGGCTTCAGTAATTCCACAAATAAAACAGCTGGAAAAAGATTCAACAGCTCATCACGAAGATGAAGATGAAGATGAAGGTATTTCATCAGGATCATGTGGATGTACACCTTATTCATGTGGCCCAATGACCAAACCTACTTCAAGAAGAAATATTGTTCAAATATTGCCACGTCCAGTCAATCAAGAGGTAAGCTACAATTGAGAATGAAAATGACATTGCCATATATTGAAATTATATAAATTATATACAATTGCTCAATTCATGTTTGATTTTCTAGGTTGCACCAACAAATCTTGATCAAGACTCAAATGATTACGATAATCTAGAACGTCTTTCTGTAAAATCTTGTGAGTCATTGGAAGTTGTTTTCCAACTCAAGGGACCAAAGGCTGTGGAAAGCCACAATGTTCAAGCATTCAATAAGTTGCGTAACTTGTCGTTATACAAATTGCCAAGTTTAATGCACGTATGGGAAACGGGCGGTTCACATCATATCACAGGCTTCGGAAACTTGACATTCTTAAGTGTATCCCACTGTGGCAGTTTGCGATATTTGTTCTTGTCAACTGTAGCCAAGCTCCTTGTCAGTTTAAAGGACTTAAAAATTGGGAATTGTGAGAAGATTGAACACGTTATTGCAAAAGCAGACACTGAATGTGCTGATCAGGAAATTACATTTCCTCGACTGAATTCCATGATGCTTGAAGATCTACCAAACCTTATCTGTTTTTCGACTGAAGCTTATACTTTGAAGTTGCCATCTTTGATGGAATTGAGGGTTATAAATTGTCCAGATTTAAGAACATTTGCTTCTAAGGTTGTCAACACACATTCTGTAATTCAAGTGTACACAGAGTTGGGAAAGTCTGAGTGGATGGGGGACCTCAATAGCACTATAGGGAACATTCACGAAAAAAGGTATGCTCCTGAATGCTCACTGGTGTTTAGTCAATAATATAACAATTAAAGTGTTTCTTTTTCAAACCTGATTGCCATCTCAATGATACACATTCTTTTCTTTTGAATAGGAGACCGAATTCTAATGAGATAGTAGAGATATGATGTTAACACAGAGAAGTGCATGCAGAGGTGAGTATATATATGTTGCCATCTCCAACTTCTATATTAAGTAAATCTTATTACTAAAAACAATATGCCATATTATGTCATATTAAGGAAAGAATTAAATTGAGTTAGCACGATCAAATTAGATTCTAATGATATAAACAAAGAAAATTACGTGTGAAGATTGTTTAAGCTTCGATTTGACAAGAATTTACAATGTATTTCATTTGTGTTTGAGGTTATGTTAATTCAAGTGTTCTATCATTGCGATATAGTAGACGAAAACAAAACAAACAGCCTAATTTTGATGTGGTATCTCATTAGAGAATCTCCAATGGGCTCCTCCCTAAATGAGATTCTAAATTAAAATTTAGAGTGAATGTCAGGAACCCAACTCCAAAAATGCTCCTGTCTTGATCCTAAAATAAGGAGACCCCTGGGTGCTCTAAAATATTAGAGAGAAATGTACACTTATATTTCTACATCGTTCTCTTCACCCCCTCTCTCTTGTTGAACAAAATACTTCTTCTAGCAAGTCAAATCACACAAAGGAAATCATTAAGACGGGATTTCTAGATGGCTAGGATTTACGTTAATTGGGTTTCTGATAGGTTTCTTTAATGTATTTTGTATCTCCATCTGATGATATATAGGAATTGAAGGAACTTTTCTGTTTTTAGTGATATGATCATGTTTTTTTTTTTGTTAAATTATACTGATAGGAATACTGGTCAGCATGGTCACATTCTTTACTGATAGGATTCTCACATTTACCGCATTGGATGAACACTTTCAATGTGGTGTAACTTATTGTGTTTAGAAGTTCATGCATCCTTCTCTTTAGCTCTAGAGTGTTTTGTATATTGCCTTTTTTTTTTCCAGTTGACAAAATTTCGTACTGAGACTGGCCACCATTTGTATAAGCTGATGAGTATTATTTTTCTAGTTTAATATTGTTTCCCTATTTTCAGCATATTGATGAGGAGGTTGAGTTCTGTTCTGAAGAATTTTATGAGGATGTGCATACAGAGTTAGTTCTTCAAGTTTGGAATAGCAAGTTGCAATTCCACATCTCAAACCTCATCAATTCTTGAGAAACAATCCCATTTCAATTCCAAGTGTGTTGAAGTGTATTATAATTCATGTACTGGATTTCATTTGTGTATCATTCGAATGTTTGAGCAGATTTGATGGTTAAAGCATAAGTTCATGTATTTTTTAGAGTTATCAAGGATTGATGTTAAATTGTCTCTTCAAATAAGTAGTTCTTGAAGATCCCTCTGCTTCAATTTTTTCTACTTTGTTAGCCGAATACAACATCAAAACTTCATAACCTCTCCTACATATCTTTCATTACTACTCAAAGTTACTAATCAAAATAATAACACAGAATTCCAGTGTTGTTGCAGACATAAAGACTTGCGGCAAAAAGATTTCTCTACTACAATTGTTAACATTGCATTTCCTTCATTACTACAAAAATCTTGAAGATTTTTTTACTGGAATTTTGCCAAATGAAGCCTAGTTCAAATTCAATGAATAAAACAGGATTCAACTAATACCAAATTCAGAAGCATTGATGACAAATTCCCATCAATGGGGTTAATTTTTCGTTCTTCAATTTCCCATCAATGGGATTAATAATTTTTCAATGTCACCAAAATTAACATATTAAAAAACTTTGGTTGATCACTTGGTTTCAAGATTTCAGAGAGAGACTAGCAGCCCACACCCAGTATGTATGGAGTTTTATCACAAAGATTCGGTACTATTAATAGTAGAACGGCTTAATATCTATATTTTTATAGTAAATTGAGCTTAGACCCATAAAATTCATTTTCAATCACTTACAACCCTTTCCTTTATTTTTTTATTTAAAATACCCAATTTTTTCAAATAAAACCCAATGACTAGGATTCAAGTAAGCAAGTTATCTAATCTAGCTTAAAATATGATTTATTCTATTTTTCGGATTCCAAAACTACCCTTATTTACAAGTTAACGTGTTATGTGGGGGTGTATCTAATGACACACATTGAATTTGGAAAGATCTTCAAATGGTTGTAATGGATGTAGGAATTAATTTAGAAACTTATTTGAAATTAAATTCAATATTAACGTATTAGTAATCTACTTGTGATTAACGTTTTGGTTTATTTAATAAAAAAATTATGTTGTTTTCCTTTTATGAAATATACTACTAGTAATCTATTTTATTATAGTTTTATGAATAATAGTGTACATTTTAATTATGTTGAAAAATATTTTGATAATCTATTTATTGTTTGTTTTATGAAAAAAAATATTTTTTTTTAAATGAACCTATTTTTTCTCTAAATAATGCATCTATTTTTTCTTTCGATAATGTACCCTTTTTTCTCTGAATAAAGTACCTTTTATTTGTTTTATGAAAAATAATTTGATCATATTTTTATCGTTTGTTTTATGAAAAACAATTTTTTTTAACTGAACCTATTTTCTCTCTCTAAATAATGTACCTTTTTTTTCTTCTCTAATAATGTACCTAGTAAAATAGTGTTCCTACATATTTTTTTTAATGAACCTATTTTCTCTCTCCAAATAATGTACCTTATTTTTTCTCTAATAATGTAACTAGTAAAACAATGTACCAATTTTGTTTTTTAATTGAACCTATTTTTCCGCTCCAAATAATGCACCTATACACATTTATAGGTATATTATAAAATAATTTACCTATGAGTAAATAATGTACCTATATTTTCTATAAATTATTGTGTACCTATTTTTAATTTAGGAAAAATGTACAGAAATTTCAATTACAAAGTAACTGACTTAATTGTTTTTTAATTTTTTTTTGTAAATAATATACTTATATTTTATTTAAATAATATATTATTATTTTTATACATATATATATATATATTTTTATTTTTCATAGGTACATTATTGAATATGTAATTTACATATATATATATTTTTGGGAAATGGCTCTTAATGCCACCATTTTTTTAATTTTAACTGGAAATACCACATTTCCCCACAAATTTGCAAATATCACCTATAAATACATACTTATTGCCCACTTATCAACTAGATAACACTTTTTGTCAGTTTTTGGTTTCTCTCTCTCTCTCTCTCTCCATCTAGTTAAGTACGCCTCTTCTCACGAAGAACAAGAACAAGAACAACCTGCAAAACCCACAGCTTTGCCCTCAAAACCCAATTCTTCCTCTTCCTCTCTGTTTTCTTCTCTACCCAAATCCAAACTCCAACTTCGTCTCTCTTCGAATCCCTTACGCAACCTAAACAAACCCAAACAAAACCATCTTTTTTGAATATGACAGCATGTCTTGGCATTAGGTGGCCATTGTTTGAGCATTTTTGTCCAATTTTGGGGGGTTTTGAAGTCAGGGTTTACATGCCCTCTTCAAGAACAGCTTCTCCAGATAATGAATTGTTGGGAATATGTAATTTTTGATGTTAAATTGAATTTGATTATTGAAATTGGAATTGTGATTGATTTCGTCTATATTTTGTGTAGAAAGTGAAGTATTGGGATTGATTTTATTTGTCTGAAACAACAAATGTGTTTGTTCTTTGTCAATTGATTCTTGCATTTGGTATTGGGATTTTCTATGAACTTGTTATGATTATATCATAGTGAGGTAGCATTGTTGATTTGCTATTGCAATTGTATTGTGATTGTGTTGTAGTGGTTCACACCCGAGTCCGCTTGTGCACCAAGAAGAAAACAGCAACCAATCACAACACTAGCATGGTATATACCAAAGGATCGAAATCAAGGGAGTAGAGAGTTAACTCTCTCACTATCTCTTTCTCTTCGTGAAAATATCTAGGAGTACTTCACAGATAAGCATTTCATCGGTACTTACCACCTCCATATAAAAAAAGGTGCCACTTGTAGTTGTCGTTGATGAGGTTGTAACAATGGGATTCCGAAGGGACATAGTCAGAGCAACAGTGAAGAAAATGACTGAGAATGGGCAATCAGTGGACATTAATGTTGTGCTGGATAAGCTGATGAACAATGGAGAAGTTGAACCCCAAAGTGGTGGATTTGGCCGGTAATATGCTGATGTTGTTGATATGATTTATGAAGTATATTTAATTATATGTTTTTATTTTAGTTGTTCTTTTTCTTTTTTACTCTGTTGTTTTGCAATGTGCTTCTAGATCTGGATCAATGTATAATTATCCCCCTGTCTTTGCTTTCCTTTTCTTTATTTATTGATGTAAATAGTGTGTAAATATAAAGCGACTGGTGACTTGAAATTTGTTGTGTGTTTCATGTGAATGTAAATTACTAGCTTTCACCAAACAGATCAATACTTGTTTAAATTTTATATGCCCTTGAACGAAATATTATAAGACAGGGTAGTTGCCAACTTGCCATATCTAGATGTTATTTATAAGGCAAAAGGTTACTTTTGGTTCATGTAGTTTGTCATTTTTACCACTTTGGTCCATGTTGTTTTAATTTGGTCAATTTTGTCCCTGTAGTTTCAATTTGAAGCAATTCAAGGACAATCCTCAATTTCTGTCAAATTTTTGTAACTTCTGTTAGTTATAAAGGGGCAATTCTGTCCACAAATTATTATTTTCTTTAAAAATAATTTTAAAACATTAAAATCAAATATATAAAAATTAAAAGCTAAACCCCTCCCCTCCTAGCCCCACCCCTTCACCGTCACCCCAACCCAACTATCCCCAAAAACCATCGTCCACAGACCACCACCTAGCCATCGCCAAAAACTACTGTCCACCAACTAGCACCTAGACATCACCCACCATCCATAAACTTTCTTCTTCGACCAAACAGAAGGGAAAATGCCCTCACAGATATCCATTCC